CTACCTGGTACTGTAGGGCCAGAGGGTGCCTTGGGGATGGGGGAGGCGAAGAAAGGGGGCAACAGATGGAAGGCTTTGGGGGAAGGGGATGCACAGGGAGGGGAGGCTTCCCAGAGGCCTTGTTCTCTCCCAGACTCATGGTCTCCCTTCCTCCAGGTCTGGACCTGTTTCCTTGCCCAAGGAGCCCCCATTCTGGCCCACAGCTCCCATCAACACTTCTTGTATGGGCTTCCTGAAGAGGGGGAGAAGGAGAGGATCTCTGGGTGATCTCCCACACAGGGCCTGGCTTGGGCGTGGAATGAGTGGGCAGACTGGCCTGCCCCCGGGGTGTGTGTGTGTGTGTGGAGGCAACAAGATGGAGTGGGAGTTTTGGAGGCAGGCTAACCAGGCTTCCATAGAGACTTGCTGTTTGCCAGCTTGGACAGGTGATTAATCTCCAGTCTCAGTGTTCTCATCTGTAGAATGAGGACAACGCCAACCGTGTGATGGATGTAAAGCACTTTAACACAATGCCTGGCACGTGGGACTTAAAGATAATAGTAACTCCAAAAATATTTATTGTGGGCCTATAGGAGTGACCTGACAAACGGACCCATTTGGGGGCGGGACACAGGCATCAAACTGGCACTTACGATGGTCTGATTAGCTTGATGAATGCTCAATAAATGCTAGTCTACTTCTCATCCAAAGGCACAGGAAAGTAGAAACAGGGAGAGGACAAAATCCTTGGACCAGTAGAAGAGTCCTCCCTGCCCCCCACCCCATTCGAATGTCAGTTCCTAGAGTAGCTTCAAACTAACCCACTTTCCAGGCCGTAAAACCAAGGCGCAGACTTCTCTTCAGGCGCCAGGTCATGGAACCCAAGAGTCGTGCCTCCGAGGCCCAATTCATTTGCCATTTCCCCAGGGGACTGGGCGGCCGGGACTCCCACGCCGCGCACTTAACGCTCCCTGGGTGCTGACTCCCAGCTCCCCCTAGGGGCAGGGACGGTCCCGAGCGCCCTCACTCCCTCCCGGCCCAAGAGCTGGAGGCAAGCGCTCCGACTTCGCGCCCCGGGGCTTCGGAAGGTGGGGGGAGGCGGAGGGTGGAAGGGAGCTGTGTGGGCGGGGAACCCCCTTGGCCGCTGGGAGCCGCCCGGCACCCCTTCGCCCGGTGCAAGGGTTGCACTTTACAGACGCTCCCTGGGCTGTTTCTAGGCTCCCCCAAGTCCCTCCTCCAGCCTCGTCGGGTCCCTCTGACCACTGCCCCGGAGCTGCGGAGAGAGGTGACCAGAAGGGGCCCCCAGGCCTTTGCCCTGGGGTGAGCCTGGAGCGGGCTTTGTGCCTGGAAGCACCCTCGATTGCCCAGGGATCCGGCGGGGCAAGCTCCGCGCTCAGGTTGAGGCGCTTGTTTATGAGAAGAATTTCCTCTTTCTTAAAAGGGCAACGATGCGAGTGGGGCCCTTAAGGAGTGACGGGATGGGACAGGTCTGGCCCAATCAGAGAAACGGTGGGAGAGGGTACCTGAGCAAGAAGGCCGCTGAATCCCTCTCTGGGCTTGGTCCTGGAGAAGATGGGACCCGGGCTAGCGGAAAAGGAAGGTGGATGGGGGCAAGATAATGGAGAAAGGCGTCTTCCATACTCCTGCCCAGCGTCCTGGAAGTGTCCCCAGCTATACCTCTGCACACACTCTCCAATCAATTCACTAGGTATTAACTGGGTGTCATCCCTGCGCTAGACATGGGAGAGGGAAACGAAGTCCCGGATTAAAGATGTCAGCCCTCCAAGAGTTCACACTCCAGTAGGGGGAGACAGCTAGGTAGATGATAACAAACCACTCTACCGGAGGGGGGGGGGGG